AAAAAAAAACAAAACATGAAACACGTCCCATTGATGCCTCATATAAGCACCATGCAGATATGCTTGCTGAGCTGTAATGCATCATCAGAACCACGCCTATAGGTGAGGATGTTTCCAAACGTTTTTCAAATCATATTTTTATTATTGTGATGCACAGACATGGATTATACCCTCAAACAACCACCTTAGCCTTGTTCGTATGTTGGTAGCAACTGATCTTGCACTAAATTGGCCCAATCTAGGCAACGTCCTTATCTGACGCTGCTTCTTGTTTTTACTGCACTGTCGAGTTCGCTTCAATAACATTTCGGAAATTAGTATAGTCTTTTTATTTATTGATGCTCTGGTAGGCAATCAGTTCTTTGCATCACTGGGCAAAAGTTCCATAATGTCCTTTCAACGTGTTGTAGTTTAAGTGTTCTGAGAGAAAATTAGATTTCTGCATCTCCTCTTGAATTAACACAGTGCTATTTATTATATATATAACAAATATACTCAATATTAGCCTATGCCACAAGTCTAATATTTAATTCATCTTTTAAATTCACAAATAAAATGTTAAAATTAAAGTAAGTTTATAAATGTAATGTACTGGAAGTGTAGCTGTATGTAGACTTGAGTTATAGTCATGCTTGTCTGTGACAATATGGTGCATGTTTTCTTAATGCCTGCTGTGTTTCAGGTTATCTGATTGGTTATTCTATATAAACATTTAGTATCTAAGCATGTGCACAGATTTTCAGGGGATACGTCACCCTTAACCGGGACATTTCCCCCAATAATAAAAACTCCAACAATAGCGAAGGACTTTTACTTTGAAATAAAAAGCTGAATTTACTCATTGCGCCTGAATTTGTGTTTTCCTTCACATAAAGACATTTGCACCAAAAATGAATGCAGAAACTATCAGAATTAATATAATATAATAATTACTAATGATCACAAGTTTTTACGTTTTTAAAAAATCAAGTTGCTCCAGTTTAAAGTAGTACAGGGAGGCAACTTGATCTCTATGTGAAGAAAAATGTAGTTTCAGGCAAATTTCATGGAGTAAAGTGACCTTAAATTTAACTTAAATCAATTAAACTCAGAAATGTAAGTGTAAATTAANAATATTTGTGGATGCCAGATATAATCATTGAAGAGATGTGAGTTTTTTGTATATTATTAGCATTTTGTGGTTGTTCAAGAATGCCGAAACTGAAGCATTTTTAAAATATTTATCCGAATGTGTTGTTAATGTACAATAGTGTGTAGTGCAAATAGCTATAAATCCACATTTCACACACACACTGTCAGTGTTTTTTCTTGTGCTGCAGTGAGTGCTTCCAAAATGCTCATTTGTCACCCTCTGTTCCCTGTACGTAGAGTAAAAACATGAAGCCATTATTGCCTTATATGTTCAAAATATTTCCTAAAGTGTTGGAACAAGTGATTTATTGATGTATTTTAATATCATGTGGACATTTTTGGAATATTTAAAGAAACGTGTATGACACAGATGCTACACTATGTGAGATTTAATATGAAATGTATGTGTTTTGCCATAATGTGTGTATTTGCTCTCATTTGTTCTCATACAGGATAGAAAAGGACAAATCCTCTCCAAGTCCCTACCTTAAGATCAAGTTTCACGGCTTTACTGAATATAGGAACGACCAGGTGGTGGTCAGCACCTGCAGGTTGACCGTTTATAAATTCCCCTTCGACACTCAGAGCTGCAACATCTCCTTCAAGTCTGTCTTGCACTCTGGTGAGCCCCTAACATGTTCTGGTCACGTGAACACAGACCATCAGATGCCATCACATGCATTTGTTTATTGTTGATCTGCTAAGAAACCTCACGGTTATGTTTTCTTTTAAATTTCAGATAAAGAAATAGAGTTATATTTCATCGAAAACAATACAGCGATCTCAGAGATGTCTCGTCGGGCGATGCGGACGCAGTACGAGTGGCTGTTTGTCAACATTATATCCAGCAACAAAACACAAGAGGCGTTTGGTTTTAACCAAACCATTATTGTTTATACTGTAAGTATTTCTGGATGCAGACACACAGAGAACAAAACTGTTCCTTCAACACAGGTTTCTCCACTTTAGCCACAGCAGATGATGGACAAACCGAGCCACACTGCTGTGGTCCTACTTGTTTGGACTGGAGTTTATTTTCACTTCAGCGTACTTTCAAGTATCAGCCCGATTCAGCTTGATGCCTTTCCTGGTGTTGATCTTTCACATAAAAAGTTTTTTTCCTGGCAAATGTGTTATTATGGTTTGTATCACAGTGCAAAGTATTCATCATCAGGTTAGCATTGTGTCATTAGTAGTGCTGCTGCATGAAGGCAGGCAAACTGGCCACTATGGCGGATGTTCCAAAGGCTGAGCAGGAAGCTAGCATTCCAGACAGAACATCTTGGGGGAGCCAGGCAGAAGACAAACGTGGACAT